AATTTGCACAATATGAAAAGTTTAGATGAAATTATAGAAAATGCAAATAAAAATATTAAAAAGGTGTTTCTAGCAGGAGTTGCGCCTGAACTTTGATAAGAAGTCTATATAATTGGTCTTAAATTAACATTGGATAGATTGGCATAGGAGCTAGAGTTTACGCAAAAAGATGATTGTTCTTCTAAGCCAAGCAGTTCAGAGCAGTGATCTTCAACTCAGAAGAATTTACTGAGCCATATCGCATGAAAATAAAAAAAATAGGATCAACTAGATATTAAGACTTTCATGTTTTGCAACGATCGTAGCCTTAACTGGGAGTATAGTAGTCTTTTTTTGTGACATATGTTTGAAAAGAGTTATAACATAAATATAAGGGCTAAGCTTTCAGAGAAATACTGCTCCTTTGATGCTAAGCATCTGCAGGAAAAAGTAGATTAAGAAAGAAATACAAGAATACCAAAATTTTTTGAATGATAAATACCTCTCTCGCAGTTCAATAGAACAAGAGAGTACAAATGTATATCTCACATATCTAGCTACCAGCAATAAGCTAGATAGTGATGAGTAGTCAGATTATCGTTCGATAGAACAAGGAGATATAATTATTAGATTTTTTTTTCTTGTAAAATATATATATTAAGTAATACCCTCTAAAATGAAAATCATGCAAAAGCAGTCTTCTAATCATCCTAGTGAATATGTAAAAAATATGAAAAAGCTATCAAAGTTGGCAGGATTCGATCATCAAAATTCTATAGTATTCAGCATACTTATTAGAGAAATCAAAGCATTAGAGAAAAAAATAAGTAACTATTATTTTCGACTCAAAAAGCTTGAAAGATATGTTAACTGTATAGAAGAACAAACTGGTAAAGAACTAACTGATTTCTCTGAGTCTAGTTTATTTGAGTCTGAAGTGAAGGAGATAGTTGCATCTGAGTGCAGTTTATTCGAAGGAATAAAAGTCAAATGCATAAAAACATTAACCGAAAGCTGATCCTATGCAATTGGATGAGCCCAGACACAATGTTCATCTCTTGTAGAATAATTATAGCTTGATAAATAATGTGCAGTAATCGTTACATATATTATGGGAACAAGCAACTGCGCATAATTATTTGTTCTCAAACTTTCTCGCACATTCTCAAAAATATGTATAGCCTCTTGATGATCTTTATATATGAATAGTGTTAAATTTTTTGGTGAAACACCTTTGACTGATCACCTGCTAATTTGCAACTCAGGATCGGCCAGAGAAGATCTAGGAACTTTCATGTTTTGCGATGATCAACTGCAAAAGGAATAAAAATATAAAAATGGTGGATGTATAGGAAAGTTTAAGTAGGAAAAAAAAAATAAAATCAATTATATATTATTGCTAAAGTCGCCCAGACTCTTCAAACTATCAAACTACATAATTTATTATTTTTCTAAAACTATTTCACAAAATGCTTTCAAAATTTGAAATTTTTTCTATTGCACTCTTCACTATTGTATTCATTATCTATGAGATGCTTCTTCAAGGTATCATAATGCTAGATATGCTCCA